AAGAAGCAGGCGAACTTGCTCCTTAGTAAGAGGGTAGGGCTGGTTCATGGCTGGAGAGCACCAGGGCTGTAATAATATACGGTTGTATGCCGAAGGACACGACCTACTTATAAACACACGCAGAACATTCTAGCATGCTCTGGAAAAAAATTGTACTGGATATTCAAGAAATTCCGAGAACTTTCTTTCCAATCAGATATCTCGACACGAGAAAATCCTGTCGAGGTAATTCCGTGTCGGCGTTGTTACTTTCGATGTTGTTCCGTGTTGGTATAAATCCGAAAGTTATCTGTCGAAGCGGATTTGTTTCGGTTTATTTCTGTCGACGTATTTCCGTGTTGATGCCATTCTGTGCCATAGCATTTCTTGTTGAACTGCTTTCGTGTCGATTATATTCCTATCAGGAACGGCAGTGGTTCAAGTGACGCTGAAAAGATGTCGCGCGAAGCCACTTTCAATTAAGACGTTAGATAACTAAGGTCTACTTTAGGTATAACTAATGCTATAACTAAGGATTTAGGAAGGGAGCTAATCCTGATCCTCTCCACTTCCACACCTGACCGGCAATCAGGAGGTCCGGGTTCAAGTCGCGGCCGTTCCCTGGCTTTCTTTCGGCCTCTCATGCCTTCCGTTGTCCCGTCACTTCTACACCCCCCCGTAACAGTATTTCTTCATTTAGTGTTCAAATTCCGTTTCCACCATTTCATAACATTTTTCTTCGTTTCATTTTCTTTGTTCGCGTGTTCGCGCCGTTTCGCGGTTTTGTTGAGTATATAATAATGATTTGATAACACCTTCTTGCATTCGGAGACATTTGAAGGACAGGTCATGTGAACTCCGAACCCCCCCCCAAACTTTAGGGCTGATTGCGCCACTGGCACAAAGGGATTGTTATTGTCCTATGAACCTACAAACGGATAAATACAGTGGTTAAGGCGGTCCAGTAAATCCAGCTTCCAGAAAGGGTTTGACTATGACGTAGAGCGGACCCACTACGTCTGTGACACAATTCACTAACACTATTCCAGCGCATTTTGTCAGCACCTATACCACCCTCAGCTTTCCAACGATCCCATTCCCCAGATCATAACCTCTACGCTGCACACATGCCCACTTCTCAAGGGCTTGTGCGTTCTAAAATGGGAATGCACGTGAACCCTTTCTCATCCTCTCCCAGGCCTGAATCTCCTGACTTCCAATTAGAAAATAATGCCAGCAATCACATTTCAGAATGGGTATCCGAATCTCTAGATCTCTTCTGTTACGTTGAGGAAATGCAACAGTCCACCCCACGGCCACCCGGGTCTGTAACACACTTATGCGACATCTGCACGACTCGTGATAGAGATTCTGCCCTCGTCCCTTGCGGCCACACGATGTATGCTTCAGTCATAATTGCGCAAGACGGTAAATGTCCACAGTGTAGACAAGTAATTGGTAATTTTTTCATAATTTTTTCTTAAGGAATCAGACCGTTCTCTCTCACTCTCTCAATCAAACAATTAATTGAACTTGTTTCCATGCTTTCATAACTATTCCATTGTGCCCTCCCAAAATTCTCGATTTTGAATTTTGTGCAATCGACTGTGCATTTGCCAAATCTTTTCCCACATTCTGCATATGATAGAATGAAGCATCGCTAGTCACCTAGCCCACACATATTTTGCCCACAACATGCGCGACATCGACGTGATGCTATCGCCACCACCACCTTCAATTATGCTAGTTTGCCGGTGTTATTCTATGTGGGCGTAGTTCCTGTCTTGAATATTTATTTTCGATGCAAATCCGGGTAAGCTCCTGTCGAAGTAACTCCGTGTCGGTTTTATTCCGAGTAGCAATTTTGTCGAGATAATTCCGTTCGATGTTGCTCCGTGTCGATGCACTTACTGTCTAACTTATTCCATGTCGATGCATTTCCATTTTGATGTTGTTCTGTGTTGACTTATTTCCTGTCGATGTTATTCTGTGTCGCTTCTTTTCTGTGTCGGCGTTATTCCGTTTCGGCACTATTCTTTTCGGCGTTATTCCTACCCACCCCCGGAAATAAGACCTCCAGAATTGGCAAAGGCAGAAAAGTACCATCCCGTTATGTTCAGGTCAGATTAAAGACGCATTCATTTTTGCGACATTTAGTGATATTGATGTCATGTAATTTGTTAAACTTCACTGAAATTTTCTGAAAAATAAAAAAATCCAACTTCAGCCCATTCCTTAAAAATGAATAGTATGGCCAACCCACCGCAGGAAATCTTTTGATTGTGGCCGTGTTGCAGGATGAGATGATTGCATTGAACATTTCTTGGAGTTTGTTCTCAAATAACAATTACTCTGGGGGCATGTAAGTTTTTTATTTTTTAATTTTATCTCCCTCCTATCCACTTTCACTCTTTTTCCAGGGGGTGGAGAGGATCAGTTTAGCTCCCCTCCTTAATCCACCCCTCTGAACCGCCCATCCTCACCTCCCCCTCCCCCCACCCCCCACCTCCACCTCCACTCCATCCCCCCCCCCTCTCGAAGTCTGTTCAAGCATTGTATTGAAATGAGTCCATGTTCATAGCTGAACAGAGTCCTTCTTCCCTTCATTATGAAAGTAGGAAAAAAAAAAAATATATATATATATATATATATATTTTTTAAAATTATGATTATAGATTTAAAGAAATGCTTCCAATCGGGCGATGCATATTCCATCGTTTTATTCTAAATGGAAACGGAAAATCAGTAATATATTACTTGAATAATTGGTGGCAATTCACTCTTAAATGCTAAAAACATGGATAATAATCAGCCACATCCCTGTATGAATGTGTCTCAACATCGCCAAGTGAATGTATTTAATTATTTGATATGTATAAATATATAGAAATGAATAATTATGAAGCCACCACCTGGATGGCTTTTTTGCATTTTCGTCTCGGGTGGCTTTTTCCCGCTTTTGTCAATTCTGGGAGTCTTTTTTCCGGGTGGCTTTTTTCTCAACCCCTTTAAAATCAGAGTTCTCAAACTATTGTTTGATAAATTTATTCTTCGATTAACACAGCTGGAAATACTTTTTCTCTTGCAAGGTAGAACCAGAATTAGATTATGTGTTCATTGTAGGCATGGCGTTGCCAGCCTACGCTAGTTAGGCTCAAATCCCCACGAATCCAATGCAGGAACGAGAAGAGGAAGAGAGAGCCGAGAAGCGTAGTCTTGGAATGAGACAGGATAGGCTTGCCTATGTTGCGTAGTTACTCCTTGCGCAGGAAGGTTAGGATGAGAATCGCTTGCTCACGCCCTCCGCTCAGAAGCACTTGCTTGTTGAAACCTGGACTGTTGTCACACCTGATACTCTACAGTATTCTCATACAGATTGAATATGGAATCATTCCGGACAGGCTTCTTTCAGTCCCCGGCTCCCCTTGCTTACCCCACATTAGTTGATGCTCTCTCCTGGGAGAGGCACGGTTTCCCAGTGATATGTATTGTTAAGACTGACAATAATTCACATCCCTTGGGTGTCTCCCAATGGCATAATTTCATTCATCGAAGGCTCAAATCTTCGTAAATTTTCCTGTTAAATGCAAGCAATTTCCTTGATGACTAGTTCTGATTGTTAGAAGTAGATATACAATTATTGAATGCAAGAATCATAAACTTTTGTGTCAAACCCGTAGTCAAGAGGGGGGGGCGAATAAGTGCCTTCTACAATCAGAGGGGGGCGACTGCTCCTTTCCCCCCCGTATGCGCCACTGCTGCCTACTCATTTTTTTTTTTTACCCATGAGCTGTCAGCTCATGGGTAAAAAAAAATGCATGAGTCCGAGTCAAATAAAAAATTGCGCTTCCAAGTGAAAAAAAAACAAACCATTGTAGTACTGTTCCGAATTAACTTCGCTTTTCTTTTGGATGGTGCGCATTCGGGTATTTCAATTTTCTTTTCTATATTCGATGCCTCTACACTATCGAGTAAACTCGAGTAAAGTACATGTTCTGCTTGCAAGTAAGAGAAGCGAACTTAACCCTACACTGCATGGTGTGCACACTCTGCTTCGCATTGAAACGTATTACAGTACAACGGAAAAAAATGAAAGGATAATATTTTCATTATTTTTCTTTCTACAATTCTAGCAACTACATGGAAAAATGTGATCTTCGAAAATGGTTTTGGTACATTAAAGAAAATCATGCATCGTAGGGTTAAGGAGTGTCATTGAACAATGAATGGTGGCAGAAGGGAAGCCTTACGAACGCTTACGAAGGATGGCAACGGGACAGACTGGGGGGGAGTAAATACCAGACGATGGGAGTGTGGGCGCCACGGAGGCGGACGCCAACATTCTCCATTCTCCTCTCCCCCCTCGTGCCCCGGGCTCACGCTCTGCCTCAGCCTCTGTAACTCCGATACGCCTTTGTGATGTACGCACGAGGGCAGCTTTGCGTCTCAGAAGGTAGTGTTTAGGTTTTCTCCTCCACGCCCAGCAATGTCTTAGCTCGTTCGACGCGTCTTATCTATAAGTTTAGCTCTTTCACGTTAGCGGAACGTTCTCGCAGAAGGGACTGAATTCTTTCCTTCCTGAAGTGAAGGAAGAGAAAGTAGGTGTCCAGTAGGCATGTCTTAGATTAGGCCTAAGTGTTTTGCCTTGAGATTCTGTAGGCTTTGTTACTGGACAGTGGCATACAACGTGGATTATCAGTGTTTTTGTCATCCAGCAACAGTTTCGGTCTCGTTGCCACTTCACTCTCGTTTTTTTTTTCTTATATATAATGGGAGTTCTTGAAGTTGGAGTAAAACGCAGTTTCAGATGAGGTAATCGAATTAACCTTACGCCTTATTGGAGATTAACAAAATTAGGATTGAAATGAAGGGCTATTACATCTGTACATGAGGTTTCTCTGGGTAACATAACACATACATCAGACTTAACTAACATTAGTTTACATCTGTGATGTAAATTGGAAGTACACATTCATTTCTGCAGGCTTCTAGTAAATGCTGGGTAGGACAATTGTCTACTCAAAAAATAACAGGAATGCATGCATCACAGGTGCCTTGAATCTCAGTAAAATTATGTTGTTTAATGAATCTTTTCTGGGTTACAGTTAAGTGCATACCCCCTAGGGATATTTATATTGTGTTGCTCTGTAAGTTAGGCCAGGTTATGTTAGGTTAGGGTGGAGTGATGTTTATTATATATAAAAAGGAATCCCAATTGATGTAGCATGTTTCCAGTTGAATTCATCAGGAAACATTGGAGACTGAGGGAGTGCAATTTTGTTAGGGGGTATGTGCTTAACTGGAACCACTTTTCTGGTTAACATCTTGGTTGTTTTTGTTATCCCATACTTTTATCAGTGGGATTCTAGAGAACACCATTTATTGTTTTTTTATTTTCATTATTTTAGTTTCTAGTCCCTGAAATTAGAATGAAGATAGTTTGAGCTATTTTGTAGCAAATTGAATAGTAGGATGTAACTAAATAAAAATCAACTGAAAAGTTATGTAAGTTATTTCTTATGGCCTTTTTACAATTAGCCATCAGTTTAATTTGGCATGAGATAAACTAATACTGAGTCTATGATGACAATGAAATCATTGATGGCTAACATAAGCCTAGGCATACATTGATGAGGTATTCCAACTCCAGGGTCTAGGCTAGTTTTCCCTTTAGTTGTGGGCTGCATGTGGCCTTCAGAGACCTTTTTTGTGACCCCTTGGATGCCTCTGGTCTCTAAAGATCCATATTTAAATGCAGCTTATTTCAGCTCATGCTGAACATGAGCTGAAGTCTCAATTTGACCCTCTAGGAGGAAAAGGTTATGCACCACTGGTCTAAGCTTAGAGAACTACACAATTCCAGCTAAGTTAATTTCAATTTCATCTATTAGCCCAAGAAAAGTTCAATGAAGTAGAGGTAAACTGAACAACTAGGACTTAAGTGTCAGGCTAGTTAACAGGTATTTCAGTTGAGATCAACAAGCCATTTGACATTCACACACATGGAAGTGCAACAAGACTCAGCCAGAGGGATGCTGAGGGTCATTGAAAAAATAATTAACTTGAATTAACCTAAGTTTATTACCCAGTCTATTGAATAGATTGAGGAGAGGTCATTGACTTGGTTGATAGGATGCTTTGTTTACTTGCTTAGTATGTTTATTATGAGAATATTTTTGCTCATATACATGGTGTAAATCATGTTTTCATGGTGTAAATTTTTATATTTTGCATAGAAGTAACAGGTAAAAGTGTAGCACTCTTAGAATAGCATTAGATAGGAACATGATCATTCCACCTTGGTATTGTGTTTCAGTCATTGGCATTTCCATCTTTCCAGGTTTGGACAACGAGATGAAATACATTTGATGCTCGCATAAAAATACATTTGATGCTCGCATAAATGGATAATAGAGTTTTAAGTGGCCTTGTTTTCTTCACCCTTCTCATCCTGCTTGCATGTTGTAAGTTGCTGATTTCAATTTGTTTCTCTTGGTACAGGTTATGTATTTCTGGATTGTGCTTTCTCCCATCTAAAGGCATTTTATGAGATTGTTGTAGCTGCTTCAGAGTTTTTTTTTCCCAGAATCCTTAGTATGGAAATCCTCATTTTTACATTTGGCACATTATCTTATTAAGGCTCCTGACTCATTGTAAACTGAAGTTTAAAGCAGTGCATGCCTGGTTTGTGCCCTCATATACCTCCTGTTACTGATCCTTATGTGGTTGCATAAAAATCATGCAGGTCATGGGGAGATGAAAGCAGGCAAGGAGATAAAGTTCATCAATGCTCATGACAATACTGATGACTCTCAGGATGAGGAGGAGGATAAAGAATATTCAGAATATTCATCTTTAGGAGCTATGGACATTCTCTCTCATAGCTTTGTGGATGCTCTTCCACGTTATATCTGCCATTCCTGCAGCCATCCTTGTAATGGTGTCACAGAATGCACTGGTGCATTACAGGTATATCAGTTTGCTATCAATTCTGCTGCATTTTGTATTCCTTGAATTAGATCTGAAGTGAGTGATGATCAGTGCAGCCAGAGCATTTCAATCTTTTCCAGTGTTACACAGCTCGTGTAGTAAATCAGGATCGAGAGGAACAGCTTTCTAAAGGATGTGCTCGCCGTGCAGAAGACATAAGTTTCTATTGCAAGACAAAGTCTTTCCATCATCAGGAGCTCAGTTCTCAATATGCAATGGAATGTTGCACTGGTGACCTTTGTAATAATGGTTCCTTCCCAATTTTACCCCCAAGAGTCTCCTATGGTATGTTTTAGCTAGTAGTTTTTGTAATTTGTACTAATTATTCAGCTGTAGCTGAGACCATAACTGGAAGCAAAACCTTGTGCAATCTCCTTACAGAGGAGCTCACATCAAGATCAGAAGAGTCCACAACCAGTTACATCAAACTATTACTCCTTGCTATATTGGTCCCAGTATCTGCACTAATTGCATTGGTGGCACTCACATTGTGGATTCTTCGCCATTTCCATGAGAAGCGGTTTGCAAATGACCTTGCAAGCAATGTGGATGCAGAGGATTTGGAGGCTCTCTATGGAGCTGAATTGAAGGCAACTGCAGCTGGAGAAAGTACCCTAAGGGTATGAAACTGTGACTACAGTGTTCCTTTCCAGTGTGTGTCTTTAATTAGTCCTTTCAAGCCTTTTTATTTGTTCCAAAAGGAATTTTTAGATGCATCATTGACATCAGGATCTGGTTCTGGGCTGCCTCTACTGGTGCAGAGGACTCTTGCCAAGCAGATAACTTTGAAAGAATGCATTGGTAAAGGACGATATGGTGAAGTATGGAGAGGAATATGGCAAGGAGAATCTGTCGCTGTCAAAATTTTTTTTTCCAAGGATGAAGCTTCATGGAATCGTGAGACAGAAATTTACACGTAAGACCACTATTCTTGCAAGAGCAAGTTGACAGTGCCATGGCTTCACTCACTTTGCTCACTTATATTTGTATTCTTTTTTTTTTTGGTAGAACTGTACTGCTGAGGCATCAGAACATTCTTGGATATATTGGATCTGATGTGACTTCTCACAATTCTTGCACTCAACTTTGGCTTGTAACTAATTATTTTCAACATGGATCCTTGTACGACTTTCTGAATCATACAATGATGGATTCGGATCAAATGCTGAAGTTATGCTTGTCTGCAATCAATGGTATTCTTCATCTTCACACAGAGATTTTTGGTGCTCAGGTTAGTCATACTTCTGTTCCTTCAACAAATGGTTTTGAAAGGTCATTTCTTTTTTTAGTGTTTTGGATTTAGGACAAGAGGTTGCACACTTTCCATGGGAAAATGAAGTAGAAAAATTGCTCTTGTGAATAATAAAAATTTTTTTATCCACTTTTTTTTTTACATTAAAGAAATGCCTTTTTTTTTGCAGGGGAAACCTGCCATAGCTCACAGAGATATAAAAAGCAAGAACATTCTGGTGAAACTGGATGGCACTTGCTGCATAGCTGATTTTGGTCTTGCTGTGACTCATCAACAAAAAACTGGAGAGCTAAATCTTTGTGACAATCCTCGTGTTGGGACGAGACGATACATGGCACCAGAGGTTCTTGATCTAACGTATGTCACACTTTCCATTTCTTTGAAATTTGGGTTAAAGTTGAATATGTTTTGAGTTGGAATTCATTATTCATTATCCAGGATGAGTACAGACTGCTTCGATTCCTTCTGCAAAGTGGACATGTATGCAGTTGGACTTGTTTTGTGGGAAGTTGCTCGAAGGTGTCATGATTCAAATGGGATCTGTGAAGATTATAAACCCCCTTTCTATGACATGGTTCCATCAGATCCCAGTTTTGAAGATATGAGAAAGGTGGTTTGTGTTGATCAGGCAAGACCTGTGATCTCTGAGAGATGGGATTCTAGTGAGGTAAGTCATTCATATATCTCTTTTTGACTGTTTGCTGTTACACTTCTGAGAAAGTCTCTCTGAATGAATGAGTTTTTTTTTTTGTCACACAGGTTCTCAGTGCAATGAAAAAAATTATTGAAGAATGTTGGCATCATAAGCCTTCTGTGCGACCATCTTCACTGCGAGTGAAGAAATCCTTGCAGAAACTGTATCAGCTCTCCCCAACATTTCTCACCAGTCGGCCTGATTCTATGCCTTTTTGATCCTCCTCATTCCAATTATCTCATTTTCTGTTCTCTTTTCTAGTTTCTTTTGGTTACCATTTTCAATTATTTTTTTTGCTCATCACAACTGTATAGGATGGCTATAAAAAGGTTCAAACATGAAACTCATCAACTTTTTTTTGGAATTGGTAATGAAAAGGTGAAATAAAGTTTGTTCTAAGAAGAAGGACTTGGATTTTTCTCAATCATGTTTGAAATATAATTTTAGAATCCACACAGCCATTGGCAATGGAGCACAAAAGTTTAAAAAATTCACCTGCTCAGGCTCTTACTATAATGGAAATCAAAAAGACTGAGAAATCATAGTCTGCAATAGAGAACTGTTGACAAGTGAGTTATGAACAGAACAGCCAGACTGAAAAGAAATTTCATGGAATAAAAAAAAAACTCCTTGGAATATGAACTGGACGGGGATTTTGAAGAGGCAATATTGGGTAGGAGGTCATATTTCAATGTCGGCTGAGTGTATACACACACAAAATTGATAAGCAACTGGCACAAAGGCCAATCAATTTAACTTCTACTCTAACTCCCAGGAAAGGCACTGTGTGGCTAGCTAACGGCAACAGATACCTGCCTTGTGGATTAAAAAAAAGGAAAAAAATAGGCAAGAAATTCAATCGAGCAAATGTTGAATGTCAAAAATTCTTATCTATGCAGGAAGACAGTAACTCAAAAGGAAGTGAAAAGCAAAGTGAGCCTTATTAGTGTCTGAATGTTCTGCAGGATTCTCATCAGGGGCACAGTCCTGCTAAAACTTTCACTGCAAATAGATCTTTTTTGGAATTTTCAGTAGAGTGAAGGAAGGTTAGAAGTGGAAAAGGTATGGCTGAAATGGCAGTCAGATGATAGCACCCACAGCTCAAGTCCATATGTATCGTCCATATACAGGGTGTTTGCATTTGAATGCAACATAAGGAATTTTTGCCATCTGTTTTTGGAGCTGAGCACGTGCCTTATGGCTAACCCAGTTGCATATCTGGAAGAATAAAACCTATCACTGGCATGTTTCCTTGCTGATTGGCAACCCAGTGGGCCTTATTGCATTCACCAACCTCCATCTACAGGTGGTGAAATATTCCCTATGTTGCCTTTTAATACAAACACCCTGTATAGTGTTGGGCATGCTACTTATGAAAAGTAACTAGTTACAATTACAAGTATTCCATCCAAAAAGTAATTAGTTACCAGTAGAATTACTTCTCACCAAAAGTAACTAGTTACAAGTAGAAGTTACTTTTCCTGAGCAAAAATTCTGATCTTTTTACAACTTCTCCACTTTGAAAGAAGCTGGATGCATGCACTGAATGCAGAAGTTGCACCTGATTTCATGAAAATTGAATTTTGATTATCACTGCACTGGATAAATACTCATGCTCATTCTTTTCCCTGTGCCTCTTTCCTTCCCATGGGCTACTTAACAGAATCATATGCTGATAGAATGCATCCTTTAGTTTTAAAAAGATGCCAATTTTGCCATTGGTGATGGGAAGATCTAGCCCAGCCCAGCCCTATCATGAGACCCAGATAGGAAAAAAGGTATGTTCTCTTGTTTCCCCTTAACCAGGCATAGACTGCACAAATCCAGCCGATAATGTGATTGAAAATGAATTTTCACTGAATTCCAACATGTTACAATGTACATGGTATTTTATGGGGCAATAAAGGAGATGAGGGTGTTTCAACCATGAAATATGGGGACTAGGATCTTCATGTTACAAGTGGTACAAATTCACTTCCAGATCACTATATGTTAAGCTAGGTTCCACACTTGGAAGTGCGAGTGCTTGGTCTTAAGTATTAATATTAGCGGAGTCTAATGATGGATTGTTGGGAGGGTGATAAAACAGGGTACTTGAAATATGGGGAGGCAGCTAGGTTCTACCCACCCGCTGAGCCTAAAGGGGACCAGACAAAACAGAGGAGAGAAGTGCCAACGTTAGGCATACGAAAGGTCATCATTATGACTCAACGTTAGACCAAAGGCTGTCTGGATGGAGTCAGGTTAATGAAGTTGACAACAGAAAAATGAGGAACAACCATGATTTCTAGCCATGACTCCCATAGGTTCCCAAATCCCTGCTCGATAGAAAAAGTAAATGCAAGGCTCAATTCTACTTTAGGTGTTAAATTTAAATACAGAGTTAAGAGATGAAGTTTGATGGAATGTTCAGACAGCTATACCATGTAAACAATGCACAGAAGAGCTGTCATATATGGTGGGTACAAAAATGAGACAATGGAGAAGATGAATGCTGTCACCAGACATGCTCATCTAAAGGTGGCACCAAAAAAAAAATTTGTGCACACAGCATGTATGAAGTGGCATTTAAAACTAACTAGTTACAATATCTTGCTGTGGCATCCTGCAATGCCTGTAGAATTAGGTGACACTAAGGAAAACCATGTGGGGCACTGGATGGCATCTCTTGAAACACAAGTGTTTCAAGCCAGAAGCTAACCCAAAGTGAGAGTACTCACAACCAATAATGTTGGTGTAGCCAAGAAAACAAGGTGTTTGAAGGAGTGTTGGGGCACCTTGAGGCAATTTTTGCAAGGATAGATTGTCAAAGCCCTCATGTTCACATTGATGAATGGCATGCACAAATCTGCAGTTAGGCAACTTTTTCTCAAAACCCAAAGTTTTTTCTTACCAAGTCAACCTTAAACTTCACTGCATTTTTTTTTTAAATCATCACTAACTCTATCCTATATGCGTAACTCAAGTAAAACGTCTTCCCGTTTCTAGAATTGCTTAAATCGCCATGCAATAAAAAATTACAATAAATCCTGATCCTGAAAGCTTCAAGGCTCCTTGGGCGTTTTGAAATGCCTATTTCCCAATGGCAGAGATAATGTGCTGGCTTTTCTCAGTCACTAACGGTATGTACTGTTCATGGAAGCTCTATGTCAATATTTCAGGCTATCATGCCTAGCATCCTTCTAGCCAATCATGATTTGAAGAATCACAGGATTGAAAGAAAAGAGTGATAGATGCATCATGTTCATCTTGGCAATGCTCAAAAGCAAAGGCCATGTGTGTGGGGGGATGTTCATGCCATCATGCCATTCACAAACGAAACAAATACGTCTTGTTTCAGAGTCTTACATGCAGATCACTTACATGAAGCAGAATCTCACTGTTACAAGGGACACTCAGAAAGTTTCCGGATATGGACAACTGAAAACTGCTGAGTATTATTCAAACATTACACCTTTTCAAAGTATTCTCCCTGAGCATTAATGCACTTTCTCATCCTTGCAAACCATTTCTCAAAGCATTTTTTCCACTCAGATGTTGGGATACCTGGGATAATTAAATTCAGAAACTGCTTCTAGAAGCTGAAAATGTTGTCCACAAAGCAATTTTTCAATTCTTGTGAAGAGAAAGAAGTCACATGGAGCCAGGTCTGGACTAAGGGTGGATGTGGGAGCACCCTGATGCAGGAAATCTGATGTGAGGGCAGCTGTGTGACTGGACAGGTTGTTACAATGGAGCATCCATGATTTCAAGGGTGACTTGGGCCACCGATTCTTCAAAGATTCTAATATCTTTGGGAGGCAAGATTCTATGTGCTACAGTCTTTTGACCTCGAAGAGGTATGGTGCCTGTGACCTGTGAAAGAAAATAAACTAGCCACCATTTGCCTTCCCATGCTTCTGGACCACTTGACCTTGGTTCGCAAGGGAAGTGCCAGATAGTGGTTGGTGCTTTGTCTCTGGGTCAAATTAATATATCCAAGATTCATCATCTGTGATGATGTCATAGATGGCTTTTAAAGATCCAGAGTTGAACTTCTGGAGCATGAATTCCCACCATTCCACACTGGTCTCCTTTTGACTTGGGGTGAGATCATGAGGGACTCATCATCTGGTGACCCTCCTCAGACCAAGATGTCTGTGCAGGATGTCATTCACTGCTGCTGACCCAATCCCAAGTAGTGCCTGAATGTCCTCATGTAATTCAACCATCTTCTTTACATTTTCATTTGACACTGCAATTGATGGCCAGCCACAGCGAGGCTCATCCTTCAAGGACACTCTTCCCCTCCAAAACCAGATGTGAGCAAAAAAAGTGCTACCTGAAAGGATTCCTCATAAGAGGAATTAAGAAAAAGGAGAATTCAAACATGATGTCCAGGGCCACTGTCTTTGCTTGGAAGCTTACATTCTGCCTGGGCATACATGATGTTCAAATGTGGTGTTCAAGACATTCAGTTTCCCAAAATTCATGACCGTGTATGCGGACAAACAACTATAGGAGCTATAGCATCCAATAACATGCCCATGAGGAACATGTGGTTGGTCCAGAGAAAAGTTTGTTCTCTCAGAAGTGCATTCCAGTGAATTATAAAAAAAAAAAAATTTTTGATTTCATAAGATACAGTCATCTTCCCTTTCTTCATCCTACAGGAATTCTGAATGAAGATGATAACACAACAGGTTCTATGAGTCAGGTGCTTTATTGTTAACAAGCCTCATTGCAAAATAAAAAGGAACAAGTGGTATCATGAGGACATGATTGAGGTCAATACTAAGTCACTAAGCCATTTCAATTTCAATCCAAGAATAATTGCAATTTTCTGCATAATTTCACATAGTGCTTCCACAACCACCTACAGTAGACAAATTTCAAGAAATGTAGTCATGCAAACCCTAAGAGCAGATCAGAGTTATATCCCATACATTTTAGAGGTATTTTGTCTGGTCTTGCAGATGATTTCATCAAGGCTTGTCTGTCGCAAAGCAGCAATTTGAGCAGCAACATGTAGAGCCATGCCTGGATTGCTATGGCGCTTCTCCTTGGCAGCCTGATAAATAATGAAAAAAAGACAGACAGACAAATATGAATTAAATATAACCCTTTCAGAATGGATAATAGTGAAGGAAAAACGGATGTGTTTGGGTTTTATAAGCACCCTTCACAACAGACTCACTTGACGAGGACAAAAATAGGGGGCATCAGTCTCAAGCAGCAGACGATCTAAGGGTATCTTCTTGGCAACATTGTGGACAGGTGTAGCAGATTGATATGTGACTAGCCCAGTCAGTCCAAAGAAGCAGTTGGGAAATTCATCCAACCAAATTTTTGCTTCTTCCCATGATCCCGTGAAGCAGTGCCGATGGAAGCGATACTCTCGGGGTAGTTCCTAAATCAGGGCCATTCACCAAGTATCACCTTTAATGATTGTTAAGATTATGTGTACTAAAGGTATCATCCTTGTGTCAATGTTCAACCTATGTGATTACTTCTTAAATATGGAATTTTGCTATGGCTACTCATGAAGCTGTCACAACTAAGACTAATTCATATTTTTGGAGCTTCAAAAATGACTTCAGTCATGGTTGTGGAAACAGCACTAGACTCAAAAGGATTTTTGTCCAAGATTTGGCAGAGCTCTCCCTCTTCTGGAAGAGGTGAAAGAAGCATACCATGAAGCCAAGAACCCTCAGGAAATATTTTTCTCACCTCTTTGAGAATTTCCAAACAGTCTTGGTCAGCATCACGACAATGGATGACCAATGGTAATTGAAATTGTCTAGCAATAGCTAGCTGCTTCTTGAAGACACTCTTTTGCAAATCTTCTGGCACAATATCTCCATACCTGAAAAAGCCATGAATTCTCCCTAGTTTACATTAATAGGGTAAGAACATGTACCCTACACTTTTGTAGATTCACATTTTAACCCCAGAATGGAAATAAATTAACTGGGAAGTGCATGACCCTAGGTTCTACACAACCCATATAGTAAGCGGCAGTCACACAGCTTTGTAATCTGCTTCACAGTTTGATTGCACCAATCCAGGCATGACCAATATCGATTCTGATCTAATTCTTCTGAATTGGGTCATTCCAAACTAAATAATCAAATAGCTGTTGTCAACTAGAAGCTGATTTCACCCAAAAAAATACAGTAGGTAGGGGATGCATGTGAAACACTAGCACCCAAAACCACAATATCATATGACTCTGGTGGCCTGAGCTACACCCCCTCTAACCTTGACAAAGCAGGGGAGTAGCAGTGTTTGCTGCCACTTTTGCAATGGCATAAAATAAATAATATGACTTGAATGGCATGAAGTGAGAGCAGTGAGACAGACAGAGAGAGGTGCTAGAGGGTGCTTCTTTTTAAAGCAGCAGCTTTTCTAATTTAATTCTCAGGTTTAATCCTCTCCACAGATGTCTGTGTGGGAGGAGGAAGAAACAGAAAAAATAAAACAAAAGAAACAGAAGGACTTTCTCCTGAATGGGTTCTCCTGGGTTTCTTGTCTTTCACCCTATTTAAAAAATGCATTTGTCCCACAAGAATAATTTTTTTCCTCCTTCACACCCCAAATTAGAGTTAGCCATGAGAAAATTGTAATCAGGAGTAAAAATGTGGTGTGAGATATCCAGAAATTCAAGATAAGCAAATTCAAGTTAAATGGAATATTCAATATGGTGTCCTATAGGATTCCGCCAGGACTAAGCATCAAACTTCAAGATAAGTGGAATTTAGGCTTATCAGGATTCGATTTAATGAGTTTTAACTGTATCATGTTTCATGGGGTGTTCAGACAGCTATGCCCTGTAAACAGTCATTGAAGTGCTGTTATATATGGTGGGAACATGAGACTATAAGGAAGAGGAATGCAAGGTCATCAGAAGGTGCTACTATGCACAAAATGGCATTAAGAACACCAGCCACAATATCTGAAGCCTGTTGTGCATCCTGCAATGTCTGCCACCTTAAAATATCCCAAGGAAAACTATGTGGGACACTGGATGCCTTCAGTCAGTCATTATGGCATCATTTGAATGCAAGCAATCTTAGACATACAGGGTGCAGTCAAAAAGTCCATACTGCACGCTTCTAGCATACGTTTCTGGAATTAGTTGGAATAAATTACGGTTGGACAAAGTATTATGATCAGTTGTGAGTCAGACAGCACGTTATGAACATTGTTGGTATAGTTGTTTGTGTTCAGCATTGGTTTTTCGACACAGATTTTCCCCTACTGTCCCTGAGCAATGGAGTTCACAGAGGAAGAACAAAGAACTGTGATCAAATGTGTGTGATCCATCAGGCCCCTTCCAATGAGAAAGTTCTTTACACTATTTTTCTGGACAAACAGGGTTTAGTTCTACCTCACGCAGTTCCCAAAGGTGCAACCAATAATGGAAGCTATTACAAACATGTGTCACAAACTGAGCTTTTACCAGCAGTAAAAAAAATTGCATCCATTGAAGGCCAATGACTGGTTCATTCTTCACCTGGTCAATGCACCACCACACAAGGCAGGTGTTGTAAGGGAGATTGTTTTTAGAAAATGGTATTGAGGCCTTGCCCCATCCCCCGTACTCACCGGACCTGGCACCAAACGATTTTTGGGTGTTCTCAGAACTCAAGGATTTGTTACAGAGTAAGATGTATGACTCCAGACAAGCCCATGGTACTGGAGTTTACCAGTGGTTTAAACATAGACCTGAGGAAGCATTTGCCAAGTTCTTCAGTGACTGACAACGAAGGTGGAAACTGTGTGTAGGTAAAGCAGGTGATTATGTTAAGACGTGACAACAGTTTCTATTCAGAACTCCTGACTGTAAATGAGATATGGCTCGACAGTATGGACCTTCTGACTGCACCTCATAGGTGGGGGTTGCATTGAGCAAATGTAGCACCCACTGGTGACCATTTCTGAAGACACAACATTCCTCTTCCCCATGGACTTCTTTATTTTTAACTAAATATCATAGTCCTACAATGCATGGTATGACCATCTGAATTCATAATATATTTATACAGGGTCAGCCCTAAATATTCATACCATGTGTAACTTTTCTACTTATGCATGCCCAAGAAAAGCAAAGAAAAAGAAAACATAGTACCTAAATGTCAGCATCTCTTAGGTGGCCAATCTCAGGCATTTCAAAATGACCCCTCTGAGTAACATGGATTGATGATCAAAAACTTGTCTTGCAGATCATGTGACAGAAATTAACAACTAACATGAAAAGTCACATTACAACTGTGACTGTAATCCAAAAGATTATATCTGATTGGAAAGAAAGTTCTCGGAATTTCATGAACAATTATTACAACCCAGTTTATTTAAAAGCAAAATCATCTCAATCATGAATGTAATCACCATTGGCCTCTATCACTTCACGCCAACGTTTATGCAAACTATGGATGCCATTCCAATAGAACTCTGGCGGCTGCGCTACGAAAAAGTTGGCCAAATCGGTTTTCAGGTCGTCTTGGTTGGCGTACTGCTTTCCAC